GTGTCCCCACTCCTTGACAGTTCACGCTCCTCAAGGATGAGGAATGCCCCAAGCGCTCAGCTTCCTACAGAGAATGGCGGGTGGCTCTGGCAGACCATCTTCCATTCAAACGGCACAGAAACCATGAAGTGTGCAAGAAGTGTCCTTGGCGTCTGACTCCTTTTATTTATACTCATTCCAAACAGGGTCTTAAATGGGTCTGCATTCAAAAATGACATGGTTAAGGATTAGACCAATCAAACCTGGAAGGTCCGAAAACAAAACAATGACATTTCAGGCACAGAGAATCAGGCAGAAATGAAGGCAGCAGGTTTTCCTCCAGCACACACAAATCCTCCAGTAAGCTCGCCTGCAAAGAAAGCACACCTCATCAGTTTTTGTTCCACTTTAGGAAGACAGAACGTTTGGAGAACGCAGAACTGTTAGTGCCCTCAATTAGCCTCCAAAATCTAAAATCTACCTTCCACCCAAAAAATGGTGTGCCCTGTACTGACCCTGCTTCTACGAGTCCCTCCTCCTTCCAAGTCTACGGGCCAGGCCCCTCCCACTTCAAGGCCATCAATCATTTCCTAGCCCATCTCTCTCCAGGCGGTAAGACCACCATCTGCCCACTACCATGGGGGGACCTTCCTCAGAAACCGGCCTGTAACAAAGCCACAGCAACCCGAACTCGGACAAAACCCCTTTACCCGACACCAACCTGTTTAATCCTACATTGTTCTTCCCTTTCTCTAGCTATGTGTTTCCCCAATTTGTCCCCAACTCTTGAGGTCCCCACATCCTCTCAAGCACTTTCATGCTTCCTGCCTTTTGTCACGTGTCATCTGCTGGAAACAGCCTTTACAGGGTCACATGCTGATGGGTCCCACAGAAAACGCTCCTCCCCGCCGCTCCATAGCACCCCCTGCCGTCTACCTCTCCAGATTCTACGCCCCATTAATTCCCGGGGGCTGCTTTTCTTCACATCCCTCCAAAGCACTGTAGGTACTTTAATATGTCAAAGACATCACCCCTCAGTCTACGTGTCGACAAAACANTTTGTTTAACTTATTTCCCCTTTTTATCTCTGGGTGCTTCCAGTTTTGAGCTACTTTTGAGAATGAAATCGCAAAGAGGCACGAGGTTTCTTTCACTCATGGGGGGAGCAGGTCTGCCGTGCTGACTCCGCACGCACAGCCTCCCGGCGGGCTCCTCTCTCATGGTCACCACCCGGGCAAGTGGCCATTCCCGGAGCCACTTCTGTGACTGCAGGACCAAGGCTCTCTGAAGGGGGGCTGACTGTCCCCCACTGAAACAACTGTTTCCTTACAGTCCCACGATACAGGGTACTTCCTCTCCCTGCAGTCTGCCAACCAAAGGGCATTTCCTCTTGGAGCTCAGTCAGCTGGTCTAATTACTCCAGCAGACCAGCCACTGCTCAGAGCTCCATGTTCTAATACAGGAACTCTTCTCGTGTATTCCTTGGAAGACAAAGACTGTTCCCCAATGAAAACCAAGTAAACAAGTCCAGTCCCCGATTCTGGGTAACATGACAAAAGTTAAAGCCGAAGCGGTCTGCCTGCAGTCGGTTCCAACTATTGTGCTGTTTGCACAGGAAGTACGGAATTGAGAGCACAGGGTAGTCCAAGGAAAACATTTGCAAGTCGACAAATCATGATGAATTATGACACCGCTTTCCAAAAATGAGCTTATTTGGCTATTAGCATTTTATGCATTTAGCTAACTTAGCGGATAACGGTCTGCTGAACTAAGGTGAATCGGGGACTGTGATGGCTGGAAATTAGTGTTTAAAAAAGAAACAACAAGCCAAAATGGAATCACTTTTGCTAAGCTGTGTCACCAAATCCAAACTAACCCAACAAATCCAAACTAACCCAACTGCAGTTGCGGCCTCCCAGGAGTGGAATTTTAAACACATCAGCCTGGGGTTTCCTAATCAATACTGGTGAGGTCATCTGCCTGAGAAGACCCCTGACATTCCCTTCCCCTCAAAAGGTGACCTGGCCTAACAAGAATTCTGTCCCTTCTGTTCTTTTGCTAATAGTTTCCGGCCCC